ACCGGCTCCAGAAATCACCTCCTGCAAGAAGCAACTCCCTGATTCCTGTCCCTGCAGGCTGGTTTTGTGTGTCTCAGGACTCTGAGGGGAGGCAGACAGCAGGCACTGTGCTTGTGGGCCTGGCCCCTGCCGCTCGCCTCATTCCAACCGAGGCTCACAATCAGTAGGTCATTTCTTCACTGCGCACAGCTTTTCACTGAGCATATGCTCTGCGTACCACGGTTATTTTTTTTTTATTTTATTTTTCATTTTCTTTTTAGTATTAACATAGTTGGGAGGGGCATATACCCATGTGGGTCTCTGATTAGGACAGGGAAGTTCAGGCACAGAGGAAGATGGGTAGGACAAATTCTTTTTTCTCCTGTGTCTGCAGGCAAGGAGGGGGAGAGGGCCACTCACTCCTTGCTGTCAAAGTACATCTGCACCCAGGGATGGGAAACAGTCCTTTGATGACACCCTAGCGATCCCGTTGTGAGCAACAATGTTCTGAGGATGTTACCTGAGTGGTTTTAACAGTTCTGAGAAGTTGCTGGTTTTGTTGTTCCAGGGTTGAGAGAATCTTTCCAGCTGTGTTGGTTGACAGAGTCCACCTTAATGCAAACACAGACCAGGGAGCATCGTCCTTGGCCAGGAGAATTGTCCAATCTGTTCTGCTTTCCATCCTCTGATAAAGCCTAGACGAGCTGGCCATCATGTTCTCCATGTGTATCTGGGCATGCTGTCCACTGCACAGCCATCAGCAACTGAGAACTCCAAAGTTAGACCACACATCCCGTGACTTTCCAGGGTGGCTGGGGTCTGAATCCAGCAACCCAGTTGAGGAGTCCCCAAGAAACCTCAGACTTGACCCCTACATTTGCCAGTCCATGCAGGGTGAGGTTCGGTCTGTCACTTGCACACCTGAGCTAATTTTGTTTTCTTTATGACGTCAAATAAAACTGCTATGAACTCTCCAACTAGGATTTAGTGTCTAAAAACCCACACGATTTCTGGCCAACACCTAGAAGGGGGATGCTGAGTGACAGGGCAGGTGTGTGTGTGTGTGTGTGTAACTTTCTAGAGACCTGCCCTTCGAGGCTTGTCCCCTGCAATGTGTGGGAGCCCTACTGCCCCACATCCTCCCAGCCTGCGGCGTGGTCAGTCTCCACTTCAGGCACTGTGTTGTGGCTTTGCTGGCATTTCCCTGCTGACTCACGATGTAGTCCTCTTTAGGCCTGTTTTTCCAATTGCTTTCCGGGGCCATTGCCTCCCTTGTGTGGCTGTGTCCCTTGCAACCACCATGATTAGATGGCAGAACTTGCAGAAATGTGACCAGCTCTGCAGATGGGGCACGGACACACCTGCCATACTGGAAGCTGAACTGCAGCTAACTGGAGTTTAAAGCATTTCATGATCCAAGTGTCCTTGGCTGAACAAGCATCTCCTCTACTGCCACTTATAAACTACCTGCTACACTGGCAGCCCACAGGGTGGTGGCTTGCTCTCCACTGGGTGGCTTCTGAAACTTGCAGGTGCCCCAGCCTCCCGACAGCTACGTCTTCATGGTGTCCACATCCGAACTATCAGGCTCCCAAATCACAGACAGCACCTGATTACCTTCCCAGAGTCCCACCCTCTGTTGGTGGACGCCGGGTGACTCAGCTGGAAAGGAATGAAGCATGGACACGTGCTTGGCGTGGAGGAGCCTCGGATGCCACAGGCTGAGCACAAGCAGCTACGGTCAGCTATGCTGTTTGGTCCCGTTCGTGTGAAATGCCCCAAGCCATGGCAATAGCAGGAGTGGCGGTCGCCTGGGGTGGGGACAGTGTGTGATAGATTTCTTTACAGGGTGACAAAAATATTCTGGAATCAAATAGAGGTAGTGCTCCCATCACATCAAGTGTTCAAAATGGTTCTCTTCACAATGGTTCGTGTTAAGTGTGTGAATTCTACTTCGATCAAGTTAAAAAAAAATATTCTCTCCTCCCCCAGTGTGTTGATAAGCACAATTTTACTGTTTGCAACTAAGTGCTTTGGGAAGCAAAGGCCTGATCCTGACTCCTCCTTCCCACTCCCCCTTGAAAACTCCAGGGCAGAAAAACAAGAAACAGCAGCATGACTCACAGAGCAAGCCCTGGCGTGAGACAGTCACGGCCAGCACCAGCCACCAGCACCACCACGGCCAGCACCTGTGTCCCCCAAGTCATGGAGGTGAATGCCTGGTACCACTGCACTAGGCTGCACAGCCAGGGCAGGCCACCTCTTCCTTCCATCATTAACATCACTAACACTACATCAGGTGTACAGCACCTGCCACATGCCCATCACTGCTCTCCATCCCAGGACCTCACGTGCAAGCGAGAAGAGCGAGATTCCATTCCTCACGGCAACATTTCCATTACTGCTGGGGTGGACAGCAACAGATGAAAACGGATCAAATATCCAGTGCCAAGGGGGCTGGTGTACACTAGGAGGAAAGATTTTAGGGGTATCGATGGAAATGTTGGAGAAAGGTTAACATTTTAAATTGGGGAGGGGGCCCGGCGCGGTGGCGCAAGTGGTTAAAGGTCCTCGCCTTGCACGCCCGGGATCCCATATGGGTGCCGGTTCTAATCCCGGCAGCCCCGCTTCCCTTCCAGCTCCCTGCTTGTGGCCTGGGAAAGCAGTCGAGGACGGCCCAAGGCTTTGGGAACCTGCACCCGCGTGGGAGACCAGGAAGAGGCTCCTGGCTTCGGATCGGCGTAGTATCGACCCGTTGCGCTCACTTGGGGAGTGAATCATCGGATGGAAGATCTTCCTCTCTGTCTCTCCTCTCTGTATATCCGCCTTTCCAATAACAAAATAATAAAAATAAATCTTTAAATTGGGGAGGGCAGCACTGTGGCACAGTGGGATAAACCACTGCTTGGGACACCGGCCTCCCACGTCAGAGTGCCAGTTCAAGTCCTAGGTCCTCTGCTTTTGGTCCAGCTTCTGGCGCCACACATCCTGGGAAGCAACAAAAGATGACTTCAGGGACTACTTAGGTCCCTGCCTCACACATGGAGACCTAAAATAAACATTTTAAAATGTTTTAAGTAGGGTGGCAGAGAGTACTGCCCTGAGCAGCAGCCAAGGGCAGTGAAGTGTGTTACTATCACAAATGACCACAAAGTTGGTGTCGTCCCATTTTTGAGGTCAGAAGTCCCCAAGGGGTTTTTCAGAGCCATCAAGGTGCACACAGAGTCCTGGTCTCTCTGGCAGCTTGAAGGGACAGGCCCACCTCTCTGTCTTTCCCAGCTGTGGCTGCTCACGCGCCCTGGCTCATGCCTACCCCACTCCAAGCTCCAACATTAGCTTCCACCCTCACTTCCTCTCCAGCTCTGCCCCTTTTGTCCGCACTGGGCCCACCTGGATCTTGCAGCAAGATCTTGCTGTTCCAGACACCTAACTAGATCACGTCTGCCAAGTCCCTTGGCCGTTACACTGACTTTACTAAGAGCAGATAAGCTGGGCCTGGCACGACGGCCTAGTGGTTAAATCCTCACCTTACATGTGCCAGTTCACGTCCCAGTTGCTCCATTTCCCACCCAGCTCTCTGCTTGTGACTTGTAATCCAAAGCCAGGGACCAGGAGCCTCTTCCAGGGCCCGCATGTGGGTGCAAGGTCCCAAGGCTTCCGGCCATCCACTTTTGCCTTCCCAGGCCACAAGCAGGGGGCTGGATGGGAAGTGGAGCAGCTGGGACATGAACTGGCACTCATATGGGATGCTGGCATTGCAAGGTGAAGGATTAGCCAGTGAGCTATCACGCCAGCCCCAGGTGTACCACTTCTGATCCACCTTTGTTTATGGTCTGGGAAATCAGGGCAGGATGGTACAAGTGCTTGGGCCCCTGCACCCGCATGGGAGACCTGGAAGATCCTGGTCCAGCCCTGGTTGTTGTGGGTATTTGAAGAGTGTACCAGCAGATAGGAAATCTCTTGTCTCACCTTCTGTTACTCTGCCTTTCTAAAAAAACGACACAGGTGTAGGTGAGCACCCCCAGGACTAAGGCCTGAGGATGATTCTGTGCCCTAGGAGCCATCTTTCCTCCAGCAGCTGGTCCGGTCTGCCCCCTACTCTCCCAACAGTTTCCCTCTGGTCTCAGGACTTGGCTTGGCCACCTCTATCCCTCTGGGTGGCTATGCCAGCTCTTGACAAGGCTATGGCCTGTGCTCAGTGCTGCCCAGCACAGGCTGCCCCTCCCACTCTCAGTCAGTGCACATTGGAGCCCCTCAGCCTGGCAGAGGCAGCCTGGCTTCAGAGGAAGCTTTCTCCTGTTTGCATCTTCACTGCCTGGCTTTCAGGTACCTGGCATCTTAGCCTGAGCACAGGTTTGCAGAAGTGCTACTGGGTGCTGGCTCGTCCTATGCTGGTCTGGCCAGGAACATGCCCTTGGTCAGGCAGGACTGTGGCCTCAGAACTTCCTCTCCTGATCTTGTCAAGCCCCTCCACAGTCAGACAGGCCATCACGGAGGCCAGGTGCCAAGGAAAAGAGCTTCAGACTTGCACCCAAACGCCAGCTGTGGCTCCCTGGTGTCCCTGCTGTCCCTAATAAGGAGCTGACCGGTGCTCAGGCCCCTGGCCCCACAGAAGCCCCAACGGCACTTGTTTGGGAAAGTGTGTGGCTGCCTGTGAATGTCCCAGCAAGTCTGTCATCAGAGGCTGGGGCTTTTCCCAGGCAGCTGACTCAAGACACGCGACTGCCCCCATCTAGAGCCCCGTGAGGCCTGCCGCTGTCCTGCGCTGGGCTTTTTTTTCCAGCCACCGTAACAACCAGCAGTGTCTTCCCCAGCCAAGGGGAACCTGCAGAGCGACTGGGGCCCAGCCCCAGTGGAAACCTACCACCCCATGGACAGCATGAGGGTCTCCAGGGAGTAGAAGCCACATGGGACCATGCGCAGGCTTCCTGACCCTGCACCCAGGCCTCCTTGTATCCTGGACAGTCTGGCTCCCACCTTCCCTTCCTGACCAGCCTCACTTGTACTCTCAGAGCCCCCTCTTTCCTACCACACAGGTAACTTATAAGCAGGATCAACATGCAGTCATTTTATTGGCCTTTATGTCCCAAATAACTTTTCTTCCCTGGCCAAGGAATGAAAAAGTGGGGGTGGGCACTATAGGGACAGAGGCACGCCTAGATGAGTTATGGCAGGGATGACAACACGCTGGTCTGAGACTGATGAGTAGCTCGTGGCCACAACATCAGCACTCATTCGGCCAAATCCCTTCCACCTGCTGGAGCAGTACCAGGCATCTTGCGGCCCAGGCTCTCGCAGCTGGCAGGATCACAGATGGTGCCAGGCCCTGGCATCCTGACCTGAACACAGACTAAAGTGACTGCTCAGCAGGCTGTCTGTGGTATTTGCATCTGGGAGAGGGCTGCTGCTCAGCATGAGATAATGACCCCAAGATGTAGTGTGAAACCACAGGCGGTGACTGCAGACGGCCATGACCATGACAGAAGAAGATGTGACTCGGGGAGTCGACGCTGCCTCTGCACAGCCCTCCTAATGCAGTCTTGGCTCCAGAGCAGTTCAGTCCCCTTTGGCGCCGGAAGCAGAGGCACAGGAAGTGGTGGCCACCCAGCAGGAGCCTGGGGACCATCGGCACTGTCCAGAGCTCTGTGGTCAGGGGGTGTTGCGGCCACCTTGGCCTGAGCTTGGGTCAAAGAGAGGGGAGACAGGATGTAAATTCCGGGATGGCCGCCAGCCTGGCTCCACAGCCTCTCCTTCTATCGCTTCTTCTTGGTCTCCTTCTTGGCTCTCTTGTTAGCCGAAGGAACTGTGGCCCTGGGCTTCTTCAACGCCTCCATGTTCCTGGGTTCCGCGGGCTCTGCCTCCTGTGGTGACAGAGGGAGAATGTTTAGGGAAGCCAGCATCACGCCCACCTTGGGAGCACAGGTCGGTGGGCTCTGCCAAATCTGAGCAACCTCATGGGCCGTTCACTTCCTCCCCGTCCACCTTGGTTTAATCACCTGTGAAATGGAACAGCTGAAGGGAGGAGGCAAAAATGCAGGCCAGGTGCCCGGGAGGTGGTGGCTGTGCCCAGCAGCTGGTCGGTCACTCAGGTCAGGTCTGGGATAGAATGGGGATAAGGAGCTGGCTGAGGAGCGGACCCCAGAGGCCAACTCTCATGCTGCCTGCCATGCTCCTCCCCCAGCCAGCCCCCAAAATGCCAGGGCTCAGGGAGAGAGCAGCTGGCAGGTGGGCAGGCGCCACGCTGTGTTCTGGGGAGCCTGGCAGAGGTGCCCTGTTGGGGTGGGCAGAGGCAGCCTCGGGGCAGAGTTCCAGCCTTTCCCCGTGCTGTCAATTCCAGCACTGGGATCTGTTCCTGGTAAAATTCAGTTGTAACCAAGGCTTTGCTACTTAAAAAAAAAAAATTCAAAGTCACAGATCCAGCCCTGACCTTTTATCATACAGACAGAAAGGGGGGACTCTAAGAGGGATGCGGCCTGTCCTGGCCTCTCAGGCTCAGAGAAAGATCTGGAACAAACTCGGTCTGATCCTCCCTAGAGTCCTCTCCACCTCTGGGTGGTAACTCAGTGTGCTGCGGATGGGAATGATGGAGAGGCTGGCCACGTCCACAGACCTCAATCGGCCCACAGGGCACAACACAAGGGACACCTCGGGTGTTGGAAATGGTGTCTGTGACTCGGGGATGGAGCTCGATGCCTGGGGCAGGTGTGTGGTCTGGAAAGTTAAGCCTCCACCTGCAGTACTGCATACCACAAGGGCTTATCATGGCTGCTCCACTTCCCATCCTGCTCCCTGCTTGTGGCCTGGCTCCTGGCTTCAGATATGCTCAGCTCTGGCCATTACAGCCATTTGGGGAGTGAACCAGCAGATAGAAGACATCTCTGTACCTCTCCTCTCTGAGACTCTGCTTTTCAAATAAAATCTTATTTATTATTATTATTTTTTTATTGGAAAGGCAGATATACAGAGAGAAGCAGAGACAGAGAGGAAGATCTTCCGTCCGATGATTCACTCCCCAAGTGAGCGCAATGGCCGATACTATGCCAATCCGAAGCCTTGGGCCGTCCTCGACTGCTTTCCCGGGCCACAGGCAGGAAGCTGGAAGGGAAGCGGGGCTGCCGGGATTAGAACCAGCGCCCATATGGGATCCCGGGCGTGCAAGGCAAGGACCTTAACCACTGTGCCCCCACCCCTTAGTGGCCCCACCCCTTCCCTGTTCCCCACCATCCAAGGATCACACCAACCCAGCACCTCTTGACTTCCTCAATATTGTTATTCAGCTTCTCCAGCCTCCACACCTGCCAGGTGCCTCTGCCTGCCGCGGGCCTTCCTGCTCAACACAGATCTACCCCACACCCATCTTTAAACCCACTCCTGTCCCTCCTCACCCTCAGTCTCACGTCCTCCACCTGGGTGACCTCTCCAGCCACATGGAGGCTGTTCTTTCACCCCACCCCTTGCCTGGCCTATCCTCTTTCTTCAGCCTGGCACACCTGCTTCCCATCCAGTCCCCACTGATGATGGCTCACGTGCTTGAGCCCCAGCTACCGACACAGCATCCCAGGCTGGGTTCCTGGCTCTTGGCTTTGACCTCGCCCAGTTTTGCTTATTTTGAGCACTAGAGGAGTGAACCAGCAGATGGAAGATTTCTCTTTTTCGGTCATTTTCATCTTCCAAGTATATGAAAAACAAACTTAAAAAATTTTAAAGGAAAGACAGGCCCAGTCAAGGTTGTGGGGTGGACAAGGAAGCAGGAAGAGTGTGCTAAGCTTCCAGCCTGGAATGCTGACATTCCTCATTGCAGCACCAGTTCCAGTCCTGGCTGCTCTACTTCTGATCCAGTTCCCTGCTAATGCACCTGAGAAAGCATCAGATGACCCAAGTACTTAGGGTCCACATGAAGACCCAGATGGAGTTCCAGGCTCCTGACTTTGGCATAGACCTGCCCCAGCCATTGTGATCATTTGGAGAATGAAACAGAATGGATGATCTATCACTTTGCCATTCAAATAAATATATTTTTGGGCCCGGTGCTGTGGCCTAGCGGCTAAAGTCCTTGCCCTGAACAAGCAGGAATCCCATATGGGTGCTGGTTCTAATCCCAGTAGCTCCACTTCCCATCCAGCTCCCTGCTTGTGGCCTGGGAAGGCAAAAGAGGATGACCTGAAGCCTTGGGACCCTGCACCAGTGTGGGAGACCTGGAGGAAGTTTCTGGCTCCTGGCTTTGGATCAGTTCAGCTCCAGCCATTGCAGCCACTTGGGTAGTAAATCAGTGGACAGAAGATCTTCCTCTCTGTCTCTCCTCCTCTCTGTATATCTGACTTTGTAATGAAAATAAAAACTAAATCTTAAAAAAACAAATAAATATATTTTGAAAGATTTATTTATTTTTATTAGAAAGGCAGATTTATTAGAGAAAGATAGAGAGAAAGATCTTCCATCTGCTGGTTCACTCCCAAAGTGGCTACAATGAACAGAGGAGAGTTGACCCAAAGCCAGGAGCCAGGAGCTTCTTCTAGTCTCTAGTGAAGGTGCAGGGTCCCAAGGCTTTGGGCTGTCCTCTACTGCTTTCCCAGGACACAAGCAGGGAGCTGGCTAGGAAGTGGAACAGCCAGGACACAAACAAATGTCCATGTGGGATCCTGGTGTGAGCAAGGTGAGAACTTTAGGCACTAGTCTACCATGCTGGGCTCTCAAGCAAATATTTTTACGTTATTTGAGGCCTCTTTTTTTCTCAGGGGAAAAAGCATATTTGAATCACAGCATATATTCATACAGTATGGCTATTTACAGTACGCCAGGCCCTGTGCCGCCTGCTCTGGATCCATCTTGTGTTAGCCTCACAAAGTACCATAACAAGCCTCATTTTACAAACACAGAAACAGAGACCCTGAGGGCTCACGGGACCTAGATGAGGTAGGTCTCAGCTGGTCAGCAGCAGAACTGAATTGAACTTAAATACACCTTTAAAAAAAGAAAGAAAAAAGCCAAAAGCCAAACTTCAAAGGCAGAGTGACACAGAGAGGGAGAGAAAGAAATATTCCATCTGCTGGTTCACTCCTCAAATGCCTGTGATGGCGGTGAGGCCAGGATGAAGCTGGGAGCTGGGGCTCCATCCAGACCTCCCCTGTGGGTAGCAGGAAACCGGGCTAAAACCGAATATCTGGCACTCTACATGGGCACTCCGCTACAGGATGCGGGCATCCCAAGTGGCCACTCAACCTGCAGAGCCACAACACTGGCCTCCAAGCCTCCCCCAGATTTCCTAGGGACCTCAAGGCCACAGATACCTTGAATCTCAGTGAACTGAGAGATCTACTGTATCTGCTAAGAGCATCTACAGCCGCAGAGGAACTCTGGGAAGACACAAAAGCTGGCTCTTAGTTCTGTCAGCCCCTGGGCCACCCAGAGCGCCCTCGTTTGTGACTAACGTTCCCCTCAGGAGCCAGGTCTGTGGCTCCAAAATCACCATGGCGGAGAGCAGCTCCCCATGGGAGTGAGTGCACGTCACAGTCGGCAAGACATCTGCACCCCTTTTCTATCTCCCCTTCCTCATCGTTCTCACCCAGTCACCAGATCCAGAATTCCACCTCCTGATAATGCGGACCGTGGTAATGGCTCCAGGGGCTGGCCTCCTGCTCCCCACATGGGAGACTTGGATTGAATTCCCAGCTCCTGGATTTTTCAGTCTGACCATGGCAGGCATTTGAGAAGTAAATCAGCTCATGGGAGCTTTCTAATTCTCTCTGCTTCTTCAGTGAGCTAACAAAAACCAGAATCGCAGAGCTGGCTGATCTTGTGAGTGGAGTCCTGAGGCTGTGAATGGAGTACTACATGCCCGAGTTACTGCAGCCCTCACTGGCAGCCAGTGCCCTGGTTCAGCACCAATGCCCCTGGGCAAAGACTCCCACAAGGGTCCTGGCCCACAAGGCCAGTGCCCCACTGAGCCACGGGCAGCTTGCAGCTTTTCCTGAGCTTCGCACACCACTCGGCTTTCTGCCTGACTGGGAGATGTATGTGAAGACCATACTGGAAAGTGCCTTCCTGCCACTGACTGGTGAGTTTTCCACTGCCTCACAAGAACGGGCACCTGCAGCCCCTTGCCATTGGTACCCTGACCTTCCTCCTCCCACAGGGCTGTGAGAGACTCTGACTGTGGATGGAGGGCGGTGAAGTGTGGCCTGGCAGAATGGCACACATGCTCCCTTCCCATCTATGGGGCGAGATGTGGGACGAGGCCTTCCATGCACTCGGGAAGGCGAGCACAGGCTGAGAAATGGCTTCTCTCCCTGCCAAGATCTGAGTAAGGAGGATGCCACTGGGACTGTGGAAGCCTTCTCTCCTGCCAGGCACACAACGAGAGCCTCAGCAGGCAACCACCACCACCAGGGGAGCCAGGAGCTGAACAGACAGGGCTCTGAAGACCCCCAGAGCCCTGGAATCCAGCAATACCCCCAAATCCTCAGTCCCAAACCCCAACACAACCCCCTCTAGGGAAGCTGCTGCAGCCGAGTTTCTAAACCTCAGCAACAGGAGCCCCCATTAACACAGCACACAGACAGCGGCATGGAGGGAAGGGGCCTGCCTTCCAGGAGTAGGCGGCTGGTTGCCGAGAGGTGACATAAAGTCACACAGAAATTACAAGAGGGAACAAGAACTGCCAGGAGTGGACCTGGCATGATAGCGTAGTGGCTAAAGTCCTTGCCCTGAACAAGCCGGAATGCCATATGGGTGATGGTTCTAATCCCAGCAGCCCCACTTCCTAGCCAGCTCCCTGCTTATGGCCTGGGAAAGCAGTCAAGGACAGCCCAAAGCTTTGGGACCCTGCACCCATGTGGGAGACCCAGAAGAGACTCCTGGCTCCTGGCTTCGGCTCAGCTCCAGCCATTGTGGCCTCTTTCAGAGTGAACCATCGGTCAGAAGATCTTCCTTTCTGTCTCTCCTCCTTTCTGTATAACTGCCTTTCTGATAAAAAATAAACCTAAAAACAAAACAAAACAAAAAAAAACTGCCAGGAGGGCAAAAATAATCTGCAGAACCGATTCTATCTGCTACCTGGGCTGGAGGTGGAAGGGATTTCCACCTGCAATGGGTGGCTGGGAGCACCATTCTATGCAAACCCCGCTCGAGCCTCATGACAAAGGTGAGGGACGGGGTTCCCCACCTTCACTCCTTATTATGCATTCCCCAATTCCGGGGATTTGGCTCCCACCTCCTTAAATGACCACACTTCACATGAGGAAGAACAGCAGAACACGGACCTGAACACGCACATGCTGCGTCCAGATTTTCAGACACCTGCAGCCTCTGCAGGAACTCCTCCCCAGGGTGAGGAGGTGGGAGGAGGCCCCTCTGAAGAAGGCCTGAGGGCGGCAGTTCTCACACACAGCGCCTGCTCACTCTCTGTGGGGACTGGGTTCCCATGGGTGCTCCCTGGACCACTAGGTGTGTTGGGGGAAGGACACTCTCTTGCCCACTGCTGTTGTATCCATCTCCTGGGAGAGTGGGGGGAACGGTGACTCCAGCTTTGGCTGCCCAGAGCCCCAATGCCTGTGGGAACGGAGCTTCCGCAGTCCCGTGGTCACTCCCAGGACCTGATCCTCCTCGCAGGCTGGCCTTAGCCGTCCCAAGCTGAGTCAGCTATGGCTCCCTCCCTGGGGGCACTCTGGGACCAGGGCCAAGTAGGGCAGCAGCCTCTCTTCTGGGACGCAGCAGTTGAGAGCTGCGAACTTCGGGAGCTGTCAGTGGCCATGTTCCAGCACACCAGGGGGATGGTGAGCAGAAGCAAGAAGAGGAAGTGAAAGGAGAGAGCCATGGGGGAGGAAGAGGCCCACAGAGCAGTGGGCAATGCCCCCCCCACTCCCACCCCCTCCAGAGGCCTGGCCACGCCCTTGTGCATGGATCTGGGACAGCACCCACACCCTTTCAGACTCTGACATGGAAACCACACAGGCAGGTTGGGCATTCCCCAAGTTCCGGCCTTTCCTGGATCTTCATTTCCCTTGAACCTCTCAGCAGTCGTCGTTGGGGTCTGAAGTAACTGCTGCACCCAGGCCTCTATCCCTCCTCCTGAATGCTCCCACCTCTGCACTGCCTTGTTCTTTCCAGCTAAACCCAGCGGAAGTGCACATCTCCTGTGTCCCATGGAACTGGCTTCAGGGACCCTGTCCAAGGACCACGCCGGGAACTGAGTGGTAGAATCAGAAAGGCCAGATCCGAGGCTTCGGAGAGCAGCTCAATCTGAATCTCTGGGGCATAGCCCCTCTGGCCTTGCCAAGTTTCCAGATAGTTCCACTGTGCAGCCAGGTGGTCACAGATGGATAGCCACACTACCACTCCCTAGGACCCATCCACAGCAAACACTGCAGACCAAGTTCTTCTCTCCAGAGCACATTGGCAGCCCTAAATCCTTTTCATCCCAGCCACCACACACTAGGCTTAGAGAGCGAGAGACTAAATGCCCCTGCCATCCCGTGACAGCAAGCAATGGGGTGAACATCTCTTCCAGTGTAGAGTCAACTCATAAAACCCTCACATTCAGTGAGGCCCAGGCTCAACCAGACTCCAGCACATGTGTTTTCTTGGGTCTCAGTTTAATGGGGTGTCCATGAAAATCCACCTCTGGCTTAAAACTCAGACGAGGCTTGTGTTCTAGGAGGCAGGACCCAGCTCCGCACTGGGACTGGGGCAGAAGCACCAAGGCATGACCCTTTTTCATTTCCAAAAGAGCTTTCCAAGCCATGGTGCAGCAATGAAGTCAGGAATTAGTGGCAAAAATCGGCTTGCTGGGCCAACAGGAAAGACATTCTTTTGCTTTTCAAAGGCTTTCCCATCTCTGGAGCCAAAAATATTATCTTCTGACCCAAAAAGCCACTAGCAAATCTTGTTTCTATGGCCCTGGCTCGAGCAAAGAGAGCAAGATTGTTTCCTGGGTCCTCACACCCCCACTTCTGCCCCACCAGCCACCCTCTACTTCCCGGCATTCCCCCCAGGACCCTAAGGTTAGTAGCCCCTACTGTTGCAGGCTCCCTGTTCCCCTAACATCCCCATGTTAAAGCCCCTTCTTGCTCCTCCCCCTCCAAGCTTCGAGTCCCAGCTGGTTGCTGGCAGCACACACTGGGTCGCCACTCAGTTTACAAACAGGACCAGGTGGATCCTGCCCATTTAGCCCAGGGTCCGGGAAGTGAGAGAAGGCTGGTCGCAGGAGCCCTGTGTAATGGAGAGCCCTGGAACAACCATAAAAAATTATATCAACACTGTACCTTTTGCTCATGATTCACTGAGAAGCTTCTTTAAAAAGCTAGAACAGTAAGCCTTAGTCACAAAGACCAATCACTTGCAAGGGCCCCATTCCCCCAACTGCGAACTGAATTAAAATGAAGTGGGCTGTATGATGTTTATATTTTAAAACATGAGGCTGCTGTCCTAAATTAACCTCTAAATAGTGGGGGAAGGGCAGGGAAGCACATTTTTGAGCCTTTGTCAAGCGCCTGCCCCACATATGTCACTGAGAACCGCATGGAGGGCAGCAACGACTGCCTTTTCGCAGGCTTGTCCCTCAAAGAGACAAGAACACACAAGAGGTGAGCAGCTTCCCAGGGCTCCAAACGGCCAACACCTCTGACCACATCTCCACCTACAAGGCAGCAACATCCATCACCATCTCCCCCCCACCCGGGGGGACGCTTAACAGACCTCCTCAGCGGCCAACAATAACGCAAGTGTTTGTTACTTGTAATACCCAAGCTCAGGTGCCTGGGTGAGGAGACAGCACAGAGGTTACGTTGGTCAAGTGGGTGGAAAAACTCCCATCCTGACCTCCTTCTCAAAATACCGGAATAAGAGATGGCCACAACCACTCACAGCCACGAGGCTGGCCATGCTTGCCGGGTCTCGCCGCCCACTCCTTCTCCCCTCCTCGTCCCTAAGCCCTGCGGCTACTCCAGCTCCACCCTCAGCTCCCCTGGCTCCATTTTCTCCTTAGGAGACCTCATGTCCTCCCATGGGTGCAACACTGGACACACTCCCAAATGCTGGCCAGTGCTCAGCCCAACTTCTCCACCTGCTGCAGACTTATCAATCCACCTATTGTTTATTTGTTAAATTTTTCAAAATTTTATTTGACAAGGTTAAGTGAAAGGCAGGGAGACAGAGGCAGGTATCTCCCATGGCATGCATCACTTCCCAAAGGCCCACAATAGCTAGGGTCAGGCTGGACAGCGGGGTGGCAGAGACCCAAGTGCTGTGACCATCACCTGCTGCCTTCCAGGTACGCTAGCAGATGGCTCAGACTCACTCCCTCGCCTCCCCAGCCTGATAACTTGACAGAGGCTGAAGGTCCCTGTTTAAAACTGAACTTGGGGGCCCGGCGCAGTAACCTAGTGGCTAAAGTCCTCACCTTGCACACCCAGGATCCCATATGGGTACCAGTTCTTTTCTTTTTAAAGATTTATTTATTTATTTATTTTAATTGCAAAGTCAGATATACAGAGAGGAAGAGCTTCTGTCCAAAGATTCACTCCCCAAGTGACCGCAATAGCTGTGCTAATCTGAAGCCAGGAACCAGGAGCCTCTTCTGGGTCTCCCATGGAGATACAGGGTCCCAAGGATTTGGGCTGTCCTTGACTGCTTTCCCAGGCTATAAGCAGGCAGCTGAATGGAAAGCAGGGCCGCTGGGACATGAACTGGCGCCCAGGGCCCAACACAGTGGCCTAGCAATTAAAGTCCTCACCTTGAACACGCCAGGATCCTATGTGGGCACTAGTTCTAATCCTGGCGGCTCCACTTCCCATCCAGCTCCCTGCTTGTGGCCCCAAGCCACAACTTCTGACAGCAACATCCCACATAAGAATACCAAGTGCTGGATTCAGTCTTTGCTCCACTTCTGATTCAGCCTCACACTAATATGCCTGGGAAGACAACAGAACATCATCCAAGTGCAAGGACCCCTGCTACCCACATAGGAGACCAGAAAGAAGTTCCCGGCTTCTGGCTTTGGCCTGACCTGGCTGCAGTCACTTGACCTTTTGGGGAGTGAACCAACAGATCAAAGATCTCTTGCTCTTTCTCTCTCTCTGCCACTCTGCCTTTCAAATAATCTTTAAAACCAAACCAAAACACTATTCCAAGGGCAGTGTAGAGTAGAGACAACACAGCCCCTGCCCTCGGGTAAGATCAGGTCCTACGGCACCTGGAGCTTCTCAGGGGGACACTGCCTTCCCCTCAAAGTCCAGAAGCTTCGTGAAGGCAAAGGCCCCACCCTTTAGCTGTCTAACATCTGGTCAGCACTAAATAAAAATCTTATAACCTACACCAACCAGTAAAGTCTCATTCACATGGTTACTCCACCAGGTAGGAATTCAGGCCACAGGAAATCACTGCAGCCCAGTCCAGGCCCTGCTGATCTTGGGCACAGCACAACCTGTTTGCAGCACCCTGAGCAGCACAGGCTGGGTGGGGAGACTCACCGCCTCCGGGGACTTGGGCACAGGCACAATGATGGCAAGCACACAGATGAGCTGGAAGATGGCCCCCAGGAAGAGTCCATAGCGCAGCAGGTTCTCCAGGAACGTGGGCTCAGGCACCTCTGGAGGTTGGAAGTCAAGGTCAGAGGCCATGGTCCAAGGCGTCTGTTGGTGAAAGCCTTGTCTGACTCAGGAAGCCGCTGGAGCCACCTGCTGAACACAAAGGGGAAATGTCACGTCTCTACAACTGACTGAAATCATCCTGTTCACGCAAACACCCTTGTTCTCACACACCTGCACACCTGCATCCAGGGACAAAGCAACCACATGGAGCACTGACACCTCCTTCACCTAAGCAGAGGATACAGGCGGCCACCTTCTTTCTGGCTGCAATTTTCCAAAATATAAAGGCATCAGCTAAATGCAAACGGAAATACTTCAACAAAGATCTGAAAGCGACTGAGTTACTGGCAGGCCTGCTGTATCCCAGGGCTTGTTTACTCATCCAGTCATTCATTCAGCACTAAAGAGTGAGCAAAGTAGACAAATCCTTGCATTCTTGGGGAAAACACACACAGGACACAGTCAGACAATGAACAGATCAATACATGAAAAGCCAGGCAGTGGTAACTGGGGGAGGGGAAAAAACCTGAGGAGTCGGCATTGGGGTACAGCAGATCCCACAACACAGGAGCACAGGTTCATGCCCCGGCTGCTCCACTTCCAATCCAGCTCCCTGCTAATGCACCTGGGAAGACGGTGGAAGATGTCCCAATTTCTTGGGTCCCCGTTACCTTTGTGGGAGATGACCAGGATGAAGTTCCTACTTTCTAGCTTTGGCCTGGCCCAGACCTGGTGTTGCCACCCCGTGGGGAATGAACCAGCACATGCTAATTCCCCTCCTCTTTCAAGTAAATCCACATTTTTCTTTTCTTTTTTTTTTTAAGAGGAAAACGTGGGAGATATTTCTATGATATTCTATTTGGTAATGATCTTAGCTCTGATATCCAAAGCACAGACTACAAAAGAAAAATAAATTGAAGTTTGCATCATAACTGAAAACTTTCGTGAATAAAAGCACATCACTCAAGAGAATGAAAACACAACCTAGAGTGTGAAAGTACATTTATGTAAATTATATAACCACCAAGGGTCAATTATCCAAAATACATAAATAACCAGGATCCCATGTGGGCGTTGGTTCGTATCCCAACCGCCCCCGTTTCCCATCCAGCTCCCTGCTTGTGGCCTGGGAAAGCAGTCGAGGACAGCCCAAAGCCTTGAGACCTGAATGTATATGGGAGACCTGGAAGAAACTCCTGGCTCCTGGCTTCAGATCGGCTCAGCTCTGGCTGTTGCAGCCGCTTGAAGAGTGAACCAGCAGATGGAAGATCTTCCTCTGTCTTTCCTCCTCTCTGTATATGACTTTCCAATAAAAATAAATAACTCTTATAAATAATAAAAAAATAATGCAATAAAAATATTTTAAAATGGGCAAGAAGTTGAGGTCACTTCAAGGAAACAAGAATGGAAGGAAGGCAAGCAGGAAGGAAGAGCGAAACAAACAACAAATGGAAAATAAACACACACCAAAATGCTCCTGAGGCAATGATGCAGATCTAAACCACAGACATCACCTCATGCCTATTAGAGCAATCCTCACTAAAAACAAGATGAAAACTACAAGTGGTGGCGAGGATGGGCAGAGATGAGAACAGCCCACTGCTGATATAAGCATACCATGGTACAATTGGTAGAAAACCTGAAGGGAGCCCTCAGAAGCTAAAATCAGAATTATCATGACAGAAGCAAAAGCAAAGACTCAGAAACCATTGTTCTAGCATTCTTCAGGACAGCCAAAAGAAACAGTCCAGAGCCCAACAGATGAGCAGATAAACAAAATGGGGTGTGTGTGTGTACATACACACAACAGATTATCACTCAACCATTTGAAGAAATGAAATTCTGACCCAAATGGAATCCCTGGCTCCTGGCCTCAGCTCAGCCCAGCCCTGGCTGTTGAGTACATCTGGGGAGAAAAATCAGTGGATGGGCAGAATCTCCCTCTTTGTGTCTCCATCACACTGCTTTGCAAACAAATAAAATTTGGATTAAAAAAATTATCTAGGGGCTGATGGAGAGAAGAGATTCAGAGTTCTTGCTTAACTGTATAATTTGGAGGCCAAAGAAGTGCTGAAATCAGACAATATTGTTGGTTACATAAGACACCATTCTATGCTTGAAAACGGTCACAATGGTAAACTTTACGGTATATATCTTTAACACAATAAAATAAGTTCACCTGTTTCTTCTCATTTTCCCTTTTTAAGATTCCACTTGGCTGTTCTAGCTCATACCAGTTGTTGACCTTGTTTCATGGCTTCTCACTTATAGTAATGTATAGTGATGGAGTACTGGGGTCTAGCATATACAGATGTGGGGGTATGATGGAACATGCATCCCTGCATCCAGACGAAAGATGGATTCCCAACAAAACTGTTGGCCAAGTGTAGATAATGGGATGCTAGACTGTCTGACATTGTCTGTGCCAACAATGTCAGGGTACACTTAAATAAGAGACTGATAGAATTATGATTCCTTATGAAGGACTACACTATTTTAACAAAATGGGAAAAATCTGATGGGGGTGGGAGTTTGGGGGGGAATCACAGCCTATACAAAATTGCACCACGTAATTCAAAATTCAAAATAAAAATATATTAAAAAAACAAAAACACAAAGATTCTACTTGGTTCACTTCCCAAAAGGCCTCCATGACCAACGCTGGTCCAGGTTGAAGCCAGGGGCCTGGACCTCCAGCTGGTCTCCCACGCGGTGCAGGGTCCCAGGCCCTTGGGATGTCTGTTTGCTCTCCCAGACACAGATTGCAAGCAGAGTAGCTGGGACTCAACTTGGCACTCAGTCACAGAATATCAGCATCACAGGCAGTAACTCAGCCTTAGAGCCACGTGCAGGCCCCTCTTTTCACTTTTTAAACATAGCCACCAGAATCTTCAAAACCACACACACAGCCTGTGGCACGCAGGCAAGGTAATGGCCTGGCGGAAGAGGACGTCCGAAAGACCTTCCTCCACCTCGGCCCTGCAGCCTCACTTGCTGACAGCGTGATCCCTGAGTGCCAGGCCCAGATAAACACTGGCTTCCTAGGAGACAGAGAAAGGCTTGCACAACACTGCACTGTCTCTCTTTTGGCCATGCCCTGCCTTGGTGGTACCTGCTCGTGACCCAAGCAGCCTGCGTGTTTTGGGATCTTCAGAGCTGGCAGTTTCCTCCTCCCCTCAGGATGGAGTAGACCTCGGGACAGAAGCCAGCGCCATCTGGTGAATCAAGCGGGGTGGCAAGCTCAGGAATGCCATTTTTGGTCAAATACAAGGTAGGCCTGCGGGGCGAATGGTTCGGAGTGGCTCACACGCCAGCCCTGACTCAGACCTCCGTGGGGGTCCTGCTGTATGAGCTACCCCTTCACACTGTGAGAAGCCGACCCAGCTCATCCCTATAACAGCAACACTGAATGTTCTCCAGGAGGCAGGCCGCAGTGGGCACTAAGTCAAGTTTATCAGCAAGTAGCTACGCTGCGGGCTAATCTCCTGACCTCTCCCAGACCCAATGTTTTCATCTGCCAAGCAACAACCGTATCTGTTCAGAGTCATAACCCTCCTCCCCGCCTTTTTTTGTAATGGCAATTAGGCACCATATAACACAAGTCATAAAAGTGACTACATCCTTTGATTGAATAACTTACTTCCTCGAATTAAAAGTAAGGAAACAATTCAAGAGAAAAAGCTTCTACACACAGCAAAGTTCATGGCAGTGCTATTCATAATAACCAGAAAAGCAGGAAGCCCCTGCAGTGTCCGAGACAACAAGGAAGCAGCGAACGCGGCCACGGTACATCACTGGAGAATCCCCTCCAATAAAATGGCAACATTAACTGGTACACAAACATCGGGTTATCAGGTCAGCAACAAGTCCCTGAAAAATTATATTAATCTACAAAGGAAACAACCATATAAGCACTGTGATTATAACCACGGATAAACTGACTTCATCGGCTAATTGTCAGAAAAGGCCTTAGGCAAATGTCACTAGGGGCTGGTGTTGCGGCCTAACAGGTAAAACCGCTGTTGTGGAGTGCGAGAGAGATCACTGGGCCCAAGTGTAGGATGTTCGGAGCAGTCTTTATTTCCCAAGCTTGGGGACAGCAGCTCCCGCTACACTCCAGGAGCCCCTGCGACAAGCAGCAGAAACTGAGCGGTTTTTAAGCTCTCATTCTCCAATCAGACTGAGAGCCATGAGTTACAAAGTTTCAGGCAGGCAGGGAGTTACCAGAGCCCAAAGTTTTCCTACAGTTAACTAACCTAAGGTAGCACAATAGGGGACAGAAAGGCCAGGTGCATGGAACCTCCAGAGTAAATTCCGCACCGTCAGTTACTCTGAATGGTGCAGAGCGTAGCAGGGGTGGAGCGCACTTTTCCCGTCTTCAATTAACATGAATGGTGCGAGAGCAGGGAGGACAGGGTGTGGAAACCCCGTGGCTTGTCCACTGTCAATTAACCTGACATTAACCTGACAAGTGGAGTGTGGCATCAATGGCAGCACCTCATTACATTGTCAGCTGAGCCACGGGCATCCCAGGTGAGCGCCAGCTTGTGTCCTGGCTGCTTCATTTTCTATCCAGCCCCTTGCTAATGGTCTGGGAGAAGCAGTGAAGATGACCAGAAGCGCTTGGGTGCCTGACACCCACCTGAGGCAGATAAGGCTCCTGGCTAGAGCCTGATCCAGTTATTGCAGTTGTAGCCACGTGGGGATGCAACCAACAGATGGAAGATTTGTTTCTCTTTCCTTCTCGCTGCCTCTCTCCCTCCCTGTCTCTGTGTAACTGTCTCAAAATAAATAAAATGAATATGAAAGAAAGAAAGAAAGAAAGAAAGAAAGAAAGAAAGAAAGAAAGAAAGAAAGAAAGAAAGAAAGAAAGAAGAAAGAAGGGAGGGAGGAGGAAGGAAGGAAGGAAGGAAGGAACGAAGGAAGGAAGGAAGGAAAAGGAGGAAGAGGAGGAGGGAGGAAGCAAACAAGGAAACCAGGAGGGAGGGAGGGAGGAAAGGGATTCGGACTGGCAGCCAAGTGGCTAAAGTCCTCGCCTTGCAACTGCCTGGGATCCCATATAGACACCAGTTCACGTCCCAACTGCCCCACTTCCCATCCAACTCCCTGCCAGTTGCTGGGAAAGCAGCAGAGGACGGCACAAAGCCTTGGGACCCTGCACCTGCGTGGGAGACACAGAGGAGGCTGAAGGCTCCTGGCTTCAGATTGGCTCAGGTCTGGTTGTTGTGGCCGTTTGGAGAATGAACCAGTGGATGAATGATTCTTCTCTCAGTCTCTCCTTCTCTCTCAAAATCTGCCTTTCCAATTAGAAGGAAGGGGAGAAAAAGAGGAACAAAGGAAGGAAGAAATCAAAAGTACCTATTAAAGTGAAGGACCTCATTACCTTACTAAAAGGAAAAGTCATGCTATCAACTTCCTTCACCAGAAGGAAGGGCAGAATGAAGCAGTGTCCAATACCAAGTCTCAGCCACCTCACATGTGATTCAGCTTCCTGCTAACGTGCACTCTGGGAACAGCACATCATGGATGAAGGAACTGGGGACCTGCCATCCACGTGGGAGACCCAGACTGTGTTCCAGGTCCTAGATTCAGCTTGTCCTAGTCTGGACGTTGTGGGCATTTGGGAATTAAACCAGCAAATGGAAGAGTCCTCAGTCTCTCTCCCTCCCTGTCATTCACATTTTAAAAAATAAAATTAGATAAAAAATTAAAATTCAATGCAATGGAATTGTGGTGCAGTGGGCTAAGGCACTCCCTGTGATGCTGGCATCCCATCGGAGCACCAGTTTAGAGTCCTAACTACTCCACTTCTCATCCATCCAGCTCCCTACTAACACACCTGGGAAAGCAGCGGAGGCTGGTCTGAATCCTTGGGCCCTTGCCATGCATGCAGGAGACCCACATACAATGACAGGCTCCTAGCCTCAGCCTGACCCAACCCAGCCACTGCGGGAATTCAGGGAGTAAACCGGCAGGTAGAAGAGCTCTCTTACCACTTGTTAATGCTTTCAAATAAGTAAAGCATCAAAATTTTTTTGTAAAGATTTATTTTTATTGGAAAGTCAGATATATAGAGAGGAGAGACAGGAAGATCTTCTGTCCAATGATTCACTCCCCAAGCGGCTGCAAAGGCTAGAGCTACATCGATCCGAAGCCAGGAGCCAGCAGCCAGGAACGTCTTCTGGGTCTCCCACCCGGGTGCAGGGTCCCAAGGTTTTGGACCATCCTTGACTACTTTCCCAGGCCACAAGCAGGGAGCTGGATGGGAAGCAGGGTAGCCAGCATATGAACTGGCACAGCCGGGCTACGAACTGGCGCCCACATGCGATCCTGCGCATGCAAGGTGAGGACTTCAGCCGCTAAGCCACTACACAGGGCCCCTAAATCATCAAAATTTTAAATCTGTATCTATGTGTTCACAACACACATTTTCCACACACTCACTGAAAATCCTCTGTGCTGATGTCTCCAACTTCCATCCATTACCACATGGATTATTCTAGTTTCTGGCTCTTGCTTATGTCTAAGCTCCCACCCCGCAGCCACCACCCATCAATTGCTCAACTTCTACACACCCCCCAATTTCAGAACTGTTCACCTTTTGCCCTGTGAGCAGCAACTTTCTCAGCTAGAGTACCAGCATCCCAGGTTTCTAAAGTTTTACACCAAAGTAAACTTACTATGCAACTCCCTTTACCCATGAACTTGAAGTGCCCTTGTGCATTTGGCTTAATACAGCTACAGGAAGCTACACGCAGAACTCACACCAACAAGTGCACCCATGCAGCTGCCTCCTGCTCAGCCCACACCCGGTGTGCCCAGCTCTTCTCCCGAAGGAAACGGGACTCCTTGGGAGATGGGACAGCTACACCAAAGCAATGCAGTCCCAATGGCCAAAGCTGTAATCAATCTGAACAGCGGATGGTAACCCAAAGCACTCACATAGCAATGAACATCCGGGAGCCCATATGGACATAAGTCAGTGCCTGACGACGCAAATACATCAGTGGGGTGACGGAGTTAAACAGACCTTCCAGGAACAAGAGCCCAACTAACTTATGTACATACGCTCCCTGTAAGCGTGGCGCCTAAGCCCACAATCTTGTTTTGGTGGGGTTTTTTTTTTTTTCATTTTTTGTTTTTGACAATCTTTACATAGTTAATTAGGGCACAAAGGTTCAAGGGCTACAGGAAAGTGGGTAATTCTATTATTTTCACATTTTTTTCCCTGTATCTGGAGTAAAGGGGGAGATAAAGGGAGAAGCCCTGCCCAGTCTCCCACCCATCCCAGGTCCCTGATGTGGGGACCCTCCGAGGGTCTTGCTCAAGTGGTTTTGATAGTTCAACAATTATGAATTGCTGCCAATATTGCCATTCAAGCATGATGAAGTCATTGCAGAATCCACTGATTGACACAGTCTACCTTAGAGTCTCCGTTTGCCAAGTTTTTCACTGCCATCATTTGGCTTGGGTAGTTGATTGATTTGTTCTGTCCTAAGCCCACACTCTTAACTACAGTCTGAAGCCAGGGGGTCCCAGTCAACCTCGAGCGTGGCAACTCTTGTTGACAGTGGGCACCCTGGGCCAACCATAGTGATAACCGGCGAGCTCCCTTCCCCAGGTCCTCTGCCGGGGCCTAGGCTAAGTGTGGGGGAAAAAACAGACCAAGTGCAGTCAAGGGTCCCTCTACACAGTAACCTTCAAAACTGTCAGGTTCATCTCAAACAAGGAAAATCTGAGGAACTATCAGTCAAGAGGAGCATGAGGGGCCAATGCCTGCTCATGGTACTTGTCACCCCGGACAGAGACAGGATGCTGGGGGAGAAGAGGACTGGGTACAGGGGCGCTTCAGGATCACAGGTGCACCACACCAAGGCAAGGTGCAATGGGGGAGGCACGTGTCCTCAGCTCCTGGCTTGCTGCAGGCATCAATGACTGAACTGGCAGACGTGGTTAGTGCAAACCTGACTTTGGTAACGGCCTGGCGTTGTCTGTCCCTTGCTGAACTTTCTGCGCTGGTGCAGCAGTTTCCACAGCAACGTGCTGTCACCAGGCGATGACTCTGTGTTCCATCCACGCCCTTCATGCCGTTTGCATCTTAACCAAGCACAGGTCGCCTTCTGTGGTCCCAATGTTTGGAATCCGAGGGGCCGCAACAAAACCAGCACCCCTTTTCATTCTTTGCCATCTCATGGACAGAGGGTCCGCTCTTCTCCATACACCCCGGCAAGGCTCTCGGCATGCATGTGGCTGCTGTCCTTACCGAAAACTCGCACCTTGAGAGGGTATAAAGTACTTCTCCCTCCCTCTGCGGCTCTGACTGCCACCATCACTACTTGTGGGGAGTACATTAAGGGTCCCCTGCACACAAGCACCCCCACACTGAGACAGGTGAGCTGACTACCAGGCAAGCTACTCATCTCGCTGGGAAAAGGGTGATAAGCATCGTCCTCTCCCCCTACCTCACCCCCAGTAGGACTCAGCAGGTGGCCAGGACAGCCCATCACTCAGTACAGTGGCTGTGGGTGAAGAGGGTAACCCCAACAAGAGACTACAACTCCGCGGCGGCTAAGAAGAAGGAAAACCGCCCCTTTGGTTCCTTACAGGGGACACTTCCCCTCCCCCACTAGGCGCTGTGTCGCCCCATTCGCTCTCTGCAGCCCCACATTACACTGCAGTGAGGGAGGAGATAGAGACGGTTCCAGAGTCATTGGGGCCCCTCCTATGGCGCCATCCCGGGGTGGCAGTGACAGGGCCGAGTCTCAGGACCCCAAGTCTCCCCTGCAACTCAAAATTCCCCTCCGCGAGGCACCTGCCAACCAACACGGGGCGCCGGAAGTGAACCCCACCGCGCACCGCGACGCCCCGCACAGCCGAGCCGCGCTGTCGCGGCGCGGAGGGTTGGTGTGCAGGCCGCGGCGCCCCAAACCCAGTCCCGCCGCTCGCCCCAAACCCCGTCCCGCCGTCCGAATGCAACCCGGACCCCGCCATACTCACCTTCTGCACCGCCGAAATGCTACTCCGGAAGCAGTGCCTCCACGACCCCGCTTTCATCCCGGAAGTGACGCTTCCCGAGGCATGCAGGCTCCGCCCCTGTGGTGCAACTCCGTTTTTCCCTGGGAAGTTAGTGAGTGAAGGGCATTTAGCTTAATACAGCTGAACGGGTGTTGGTTCGCGGTGTCGTGGCCTCTGACAGACCCGGTGCCTGCTTCCCGGGTGGGAAGCGGACCCCTTCCATTCCTGAATCCCATCTCCGCACGCTTGTTTTTCTTCCTTTTTTTTTTTAAATTTATTCTGCACGTTCATAGACGTCATAATTCTATGCCGGGCCCTGTGAGAGCCTGCAATGACAGAGGAAGACAAACATATGTGATTATTCAGAAATAAATCACAATTGGTCCAGAAAATGTTGACCGTCTTTACGCTAGGGGAGCTTACGATGGGGCGGGGAGGAGTGCTGGGAAAGAGACACAGAACCAAGAAGAAATGAGGAGCGAACTTAAACCAAATTCAAAGAGGTGGCCAGCTGCCAAGGTGACAGAGGCCCAGCCCCTCAACAGGCTGGGGTTTTCTGTAGCTTTGGGGGAGTCTTGGAATGTTCTGAGAAGTGGAGGAGTTTGGAGAAAGAGGGACTGGGCAGGAGCTGCAATAGCACTTTCAAACTTGACAGGTTTTGCCCCGTGGGAAAGTGGAAAGAAATGTGGGAAGGTTAGAGGATGTTAGCAAATGGCTGCCAGAGACCAAAAAAAAGCTATTGAAATGGTAGAGGGGAAGACTGTATTTGGGAATTCTCATGGGGGAGCCAGGCAGTATCCATGCCCCATCAGGGGTGTTGGGAGACAGAGGAAAACCATCAGGTGAGCATGGCCAGGTAGCCAAGGCAACCAGGCTCACCGCTCCACCCCCACCCTGCTCCCCCTGTGTGTACACCCTGTGTGGTCTCCCTCCCATACTGACCCCCATAATGCTGGGATATTGTCACACAGTCACACAAACACTGGGCCAGACACAAAATAGCCTCCAAGCGGTGTGAACCAGGTCTCAAAGTAATCGGAGCATTCGTTGATCATTACACCGAGAAAGACTCTGCAGCAGCCTCCTCCTTGCTTTTTTTTTATGACTCGTGGGAAATCTCCACTGGGAGGACACCAGCAGGTCGGAAGAGTGACCCGCCTGGGCCGTGAGCACATCTCTTCCGTCAACCAACCCTGGCTGGGTAGCTGACGATGAGTCTGCATGACCGCAGCCCTGGTCCATCCGTCTGTGGATGGCAGCAGCCCTGGCCGTCTGTGGATGGCAGCAGCCCTGTCCAGCCGTCTGTGGATGGCAGCAGCCCTGGCCGGATCTGAGCACGGAAGTAGTCCTGATTTGCCACACTCTGTCCCCGGAGGCAGTGGAGGATGGCCCAAGGGACAGGTGTGAGATCAGGATGGAGTTCCTGTCTCCAGACTTCAGCCTAGCCCAGCCCTGGGGATTGGAAGTATTTATGGAATGAACCAACAGATGGAGGATCTCTCTCGCTCTCTCTCACTCTGCTCTATCTCTATATCTCTTTGCCTTTCAAAACAAATAAAACAGGGCCCGGTACAGTGGCCTAGTGGCTAAAGTCAACACCTTGAATGCGCCAGGATCCCATATGGTCACCGGTTCTAATCCTGCAGCTCCGTTTCCCATCAAGCTCCCTACTTGTGGCCTGGGAAAGCAGTTGAGGACGGCCCAAAGCCTTGAGACCCTGCATCCACTTGGGAGACCGGAAAGAAGTTCCTGGCTCCTGGCTTCGGATTGGTTCAGCACCGGCTGTTGCAGCCACTTGAGGAGTGAATGATCAGACAGAAAATCTTCCTCTCTGTCTCTCCTCCTCTCTTTCCAATAAAAATGAATAAATCTTTAAAAATAAATAAATAAATAAAACAAGTGTTAAATGTTTAAAAGAATACTTGAGTCCCTGTCACCCACATGGGAGGTCCAGACTGAATTCTAAACATCTGGCCTCAGGCTGACCCAGCCCTGGCTTCTGCAGATGGAAGCACTCTGTCTCTATATTTCTGTGTCTGTATCTTTCAAATAGCATTTTTTTTTTTTAAGAATACGTGAGGTGCCAGTGCTGTGGCATAATAAGCCAAACCATTGCTTGCCGTGCCAGTATTCCACGTCAGCCCCAGGTCGAGTCCTGGCTATTCCACTTCCAATCCAGCTCCCTGCTAATGGTCTGGGAAAAGCAGCAAAAGATGGCCCAAGTACTTGAGCCCTGCCACCTATGGCGGAGACCCAGGAGACACTCCTGGCTTCATCCTGGCCCTGGCCCTATCACTGTGGCTATTTGGGGAGTCAACCAGCTAGCACAAGATACGTTGTGTAGGCCTTGGCACTTGCCGGAGAAGCACAGGCACCCATGGAGGCATATGGTTGGGGAGGAGCTTACATGGGTTGAAGCTATACCCCCACCCCCACCCCAAAAATCTTGAAACCTTGATCCCAGTAGTTCAAATGGGGACATTCTTTGGAGAGCAGCTCTTTACAAAGGGAACCGAACTAGAACAAGGTTGGCAGAGTGGGCCCTGACCCGAGCCGACTGAGAGCCTCCACAAAGGGGACGCCTACAGGATGACTCTCACATTGGGAGAGCCCACAGGAAGATGAGGGGAGATACTGACGTGTGCCTGCCAGCAAGGGAGCCTCAGAAGGCGCCGAGAGACACCTGGACGCAGATGCCCCGCCTCCCAGACCATCCTTGTCATGGCATGCAGATGTGCCAGGCTTGGAAGCAGGCTCCTCTCCAACTGCAGCCAGAGAAGGCTCCTGGAGCAGCAGCTGCAGATACAGTTCCTAGTTCACTTCCTGGTTTGTTGGGGTTTTTGGTGAAGACTTATTGATTAATTCGTTGGAAAGTCAGAGCTACAGAGAGAGATGGTCCCAATGGCCAGGCTGAGCCAAGCTGTAGCAAGAACCAAGAGTTTATCTGGGTCTCCTATGGGGGGAGGCGGTCAGGAGCCCACACAATTGGGCCATCTTCTGCTGCTTCTTCTAGGTCATCAACAGGGAGCTAAATCAGAAGTGGAGCGCAGGGACAAGAATCAGTGCTCATTTGGGATGGCAGGATCACAGGCAGTGGCTTTACTCTATGCCACAAGGCCGGCCCCTTCCTCACTTTCTAGAAGCTTCCAACTGTGTGGTGTTCCTCTTTGTGTCCTGCATGGCTCCATGAGTGAGCACCACAGCACAGCGGAAAGTTCTGGAGCACACTTTTTGCTATCCGTAACACCCATACAAGCGAGCGCAGGCCTTGTATAGGGGAGGAAGCTGAAGATGAAAGTCTGTTCTCTACAAAGAAGTTTCAAAAGCAGTGTCCCAGGGGAGCCGGTTCTGTAGGCGCTGGTGACAGTTGCCACTGCTTGCATGCCCACCAGGTGGCAGCACCTTGCACAGACCAGCACTCTCCCCAACCCATGCTACCCGGTAAGTTGTATGACCTCCAACTAAAGAGAGAAAGCCAGGCAACCTCCCCAGGCTGTGTGTGTGCATACCCCTTGGCACTGCTCAGCCCGCCTCACCTGTGTAAGCCAGAAGAGTGCAAGCCACAGGAGAGATGACCAAAGCATCCGTGAAGGCTTCATGAGGGAAGCAGCTTGGTGTGGGTCCTAGATCCTGCACCCGCCTGGGAGGAGGCTCCTGGTTCCTGGCTTCGGATTGGCTCAGCACCGGCCATTGTCATCACTTGGGGAATTAATCATCAGAAGGAAGATCTTCCTCTCTGTCTCTCCTCCTCTCTGTATATCTGACTTTGCAATAAAAATAAAATAAATCTTTAAAAAAGAAAAAAGGTCTCCTGGATGGCCCTTGTTAGTTGATATTTCCTGCTACCTTCCTGCTTCCTTCATACTCTGAGCAATAAGACCATGGAGCACCTGGCACCAGACCTGTCCATAGGAGCCATTTAAGGAGGGGATGCTGTGGGGCAGGGGCCTGAGCCGACTCTTGGGACACTCCCATCCTGAATCAGAGGGCCTGGGATGAAGTCTGGCTGACCCAGCTTCCTGCTGACACACCCTGGGAGGCAGCAGATGAGGGTTCTCGGCTGCTCATCTTAGAGACCAAGTGGGGTTCTTGGCTCCTGGCTTCATTCTAGACCAGCCTTGGCTGTTGTGGGCATTTGGAAGAGTGAACCAGGGATGGAAGATATTTCTTATTTGAAAGACAGAGTGGCAGGAAGAGCTTCCATCCCCTGGTTCATTTTCCAGGTTCCCATGACAACCAAGGCTGGATTAGGCTGAAGCTAGGAGCGTGGGATCCCATCCAGGTCTCCTGCATGACTAGCAGGACACAAGTCTTCTGGCCATCCTGCACTCCACTCCCAAGAGGCTGGATCAGAAGCAGAGAGCTTAGAGCCATGCTCCAGTATGGGATCCCAGTGGCCTAACTCATGGCACCATATTGCCAGTCCCTAAATAAATCCAGAGAGAGAGAGAGAGAGCGAATGAGAGGGGTACACAAGAAAGCAAATACACTAGAACATGAAGACTACAATCTTGGTGATGGGTAAGAGCAATTGCTGTTGGACATTATTGAACATGTGAAATTTTTCATTATTCATTTTGGACAACAAAGAAGCCACCTTAAAAGTGACTTCTCCACAGATATCACACCAGCCCAGCTTGACCCCAATTGCTGCCCCAGAAAACCAGGAGAAGCTTCCGTAAAGGCATGTGTGGAGTCTACGTGTGGCGGTCTCAACAGCAGAATTGCTCTTGCTAAGCCAAGCTCCCTTGCTGTCCAGTGCAGTGTCCTCCTGTCCACTTCTCTCATTGCAGGTAGCACAATCCGCACCTCTCCTGTTTGCTGCCATGGACACACTCAGCCAGAACCGTTAGGATCCCAACCACCTGCTCTGGGTCTCCAGGAGCCTCCCAGCAACAAGCCAACTTTGAATGTAGAGAACCTGTCCTCTCACTCTCTAGAAGTTTCTAGAAGGACTGGATGCACACTCACCATGCCCAGGTCTCATTCCTGGGTCCCAGGACTTCCCAACAGGTGTGCTGCAAAGTAGAACAAGT